GCAGACCGCCAGACTCTGAACGTCTTTGTAATTGTTAAGGTGTTATTTCGGATCCCTCAACAGTTAATAATCGTTAAAATTAGAAAATAAGATTGAGTTCGATGTAATAGTCTCCACTTTTGTTAAAAAGTAGACATTAATGTTGGTTTGCATCCGAAAATAAGCTGAGAGTTCCAATAGTTCAGAATAGAAACAATTTTACTTATCTTAGGCTTTACGAACGACTTGCAGCAGGAGTAGTTACTTCGTTCTTGTTCAGAAACTGTTTAATGTTATTTAAGCAGAAAATCAGACTAAGTTAATTTTTGTGATTGGACGCAATAGTCTCCACTATTGTTATGACGTTTCGTACCAATGTTGATTCGCATCAGAAGAAGCAAAGATTTATTGTAACAATTTCAATAATTCGAATGCAGTAGTTTGTTCGCATCTAATTCTTACGTATACTGTACGACTCGCTCTAATAAATGCGGCAGAATTGGAATGAAATGGCTGTTTTCTTTACCTTTATTGAGGAATATTGTGTTGTGATTGAAAAGAACATCGACAAAAAGCTTGCAAATAGAATTAGTCACCAAATATGATACAAACGAATAGGGGGGGGGTCCAAATCCGCTGTGACACCGGGTCTTATGACAGACCAATTTTTCTTTTGGCTCAAAAAAATCGGCTGGAAAATCAAATTGCTTCAGACCGGAAATGAAAATAAATTGAGCTCATACGGTTGTATTTCAACAAGTGAAATGCAAGTGTCCATCACACAGAGGAAATTTGAGCAGTGACATTGTGTTCAGTCACGACACTTGCCATACGGCCGAACAAGGTAACAGTGACTCTAAGGGCCTATTTACACGGTACGACTTTGTCGCATGCGACAAGCTTACGACAGACTTACGACACGAATTGTTTCGTGTAAATCAAACCTACAACTCGCTTACGACTCTTAAGTCATGTCGTAGGCCTGTCGTAAGCTTGTCGCATGCGACAAAGTCGTGCCGTGTAAATAGGCCTTAAGGTTTCCTTTGTTCGGCGCCCACAGCAGGCCAAATTGGGGGTGTTTTGCCCAGGTCCTGAAGGAAGGAATACTGCTCACTTCTCGGCATTTAATGGCCGTAAGCTGTAGCTTCGAACCGCATGCGATGAAAACGTTAGTGTGAATGATGAAACTTCGCGCTCTTTTCCACGTTCGTGACTTTGCCGTCAATATTGAGAGTCATTCCTTTCAACTGTTGACAGCTTTGGCGGCGGGCTCCTTTGGTTTTTCGATATTTGGGAAAATAGGTCAGCCCCATCCAAGCACACCGGCGTCTCTGATGTTTTTTCCCGGTTTTGGAATTTTTGAACAATCACAAATGAGAGGTCGCATTAGAAAACTGATGTGTTGACAGATTTTAGTCCATAGAGTAATCAATTTTCTGCCAAATTGTCTGTCGACCCAGCCCTTAATCGCGTGACATTTGAGAGGCCTGAAATATTTTCCGCAAAATTAAGGAGTGTCCTAGCGGTTAGATTGTCCACAGTCTGTCTTTGGTTTTTATTTGTTGGCAGCAGTTGTTGTTCATTTTGCTGAGAGGTAAGAATTATGTTTAATATAGATAAGAATTTCGCTCACTTGTAAAGTGTAGCCCCGCTAGACTTCTGCAACGCGAACAAAGATAATTCAGCCAAGAACTCACTCTCTCCGCTCGATCGAACTGAATTCATTTTCCCCTGAAGTGCTTCCGCGGTCATTTCTGTCAATTCACTCAAACTTTTTGAGTATTCAAATGTTTTTGAACTCTTCAATATTCGCTGGTTTCTCTTTGTATTTTGAGTTTGTGGGTTTCTGATCTATTGAAGTTTCATCTTAAGCGACGCTCGTCAAATGCAGAGCACGAAGACATAACGATTTTGATAAAGTAAAACAAAGACGCGTTCAGTCGGCCTTCTGCATGAGAGGAGTTAAAGTTACACACTCTCAACAACAGGCAAAAGGAAAACAGTGACTGTCAAATAAGATGGCCTTAACGGAAGTTTTGATCGAAGATTCTCTCAGGAATGGAAAGAATAAAGGGACAAACTGTTTCTGATCGTCTTGAAGAAAATCAGCTCTGATCATTAATCCTTCTGTCTGGTAGTTGTTCAGTTTTCAGTTTTTCGCGTTAAGCAATGGAAGTGTTTGAACTGATGACAAAATACTCGCTTAATTCCATAGAGTGTACTTGATTTCATCTGACAGAAGTTAGAAACGAACTCAAAATCTCTTGAATCTGTAAAGTAACCAAATTGATGCTTGATTGCTTTGATCTAAATGCAGGTATGTCAGGTATTTGATAAAATAAATTAAAGTTGCTCGCTGTCTGCTTCAGTGATTGACAAGAGGGTCCCGCATACTCTTTATGTGAAACACGACTGGGCGATTTTTTTTTCCTCGTGAATCGTGAATTGAATTGGTTTTCCTTTTCTTGAATCGTGATTAAAGATAATAAGATCTTTTTAGGTCCACGTGAAGTAATTTTTTTTAAACGTGACCTGTGAATGAAGAACTGAATTAAACGTGATTCGCGAACTATTTTGTTTTGCGCGATGAATTCCCAGCTTTTTGATGGTTTTGAAAATGTATTATTCTCGAACAGTAGTGGTTAAGTTTTGACCAGGGTTGTGACAGGACATGAACTTGACATGGATTAATAGGAGTCATAAAACAGACCTCTAATGGTCCTTAAACAAATAATATGAGACATTCTGTCATCATTTGTCACTTAGGACTGTTCAAGACTAGGAAAATTGAAAATTTAGTCAGGGAATTTGGTCTCTTACTTTCATGTGAAATGTCTCAAATGCGTGAAGGTGAAAAAACTTTGATATTATTCGTGATGTGTGAAAAGGCCAAATATTTTTGTGACTGAGTTTTACAAAGGGGTAAGTCCGAACCTCTGACAATGAAAAGATACAAGTCAAATTCTTAGAGACCTTTAAACTCAGTTCTTTGTGATTCATTAACAATCTTTCTCATTAATATGTTTAAGTACCACATCATACTTGTAATGTGCATTTCAAGCCAAAAAATTTCAATTCCAGTATTAAATGGCCAGTTGTCTCTTGGTTGCAAAAAGAACAAAAACTTTCCTGTACATATTCAATAATTTTGATCATTATCCATAAGATTTACAATGAAAAAGCTGATTGGTGAAAAGTATTCAATCAATATACAATAGTGTGTGAAGTTGACATGATAAAATGCAATATCTGAGGCTTATACTGCATTTATCTTCTCGAGATCAATGTCTGCCTAGTTTCCAAGACCTTAAAGTTTAGTGTTCTCAAACTTTTGAAAACCAAGAGAGATGCTCAAAATAGCTGAATGCCTCTAAAAAATTTATAATAAAACAATTATTTAATTCAGTTTTTGATATCATGCTCAACCTCATTCAATAATCACTTATTACTCTGGAATCAAGACCATGGATAGACCATAGTCACCCACGTTTCTGCTATGGTTGTTCACAGGATGTTATACATGAGTTTTGATGTTGGTTAATGATTGCAGTTGTAAAATTTTTAACTTGAATTCATTTTGCTGAAAATTAAATATTCAAGAAGCCAGGCACAATTTTTAAAGTTTTGGAGACAGTCCCTGATAGATTTGTTAATTAATGAAGGATCTTAATTTATTTTAAAGTCAACTCTCTGCTAATGGACACTCTCGTAAGTGGCCAGTTCTAATTATGGACACTTTTTTCAATTCCTCATTTTTCTGCTTAGTACCAATTGAGTTCTTTATCACTATCCTCAGTTCATTGATATATACTTTTTCTTTTCACATTCCCTTCTTAGCTAAGGTTTTTTTTGATAAACATGAATAAGAAATTAAAACCAGTTTTCTCTACTCTGTTATTTTTTGATTTTGTAGTGTATTGCGTTACCTAAGCGTTACTATAGTCACGCTATATCCTGTAAGACACGATCGGTACATGATTGTAAAAGTACATTCCTATGTAAAAGTAATATTACTGATTCCTAGTACTGTATTGTGAATATAGCTTGTTGATTCTTTAATAAAATTCAGTTGAGCAATAGCAATGAAAGAAGTAACTTGACTGAGTCTAGACGACACAACAGATTTCATCAACAGCATTCAATACATAACATAATGAGTACAGCAACTATGGGTGATTTGGATGATATTTCATGCAAAACATGTCTTCAATTGAAAATTGTAATCTTAAAACCATCATGCTGCTAGACAAACTCTGTTAAAAAAAAAAAAAGCAAACAAAACAAAGAGCTCTCATTCTGATTATTTTGGTATCAAAACAGTGAATATGTCAGTGAGAAGGACTTATCCAATCAGTCTTTATTAAATGACTAGGACCATTTTCTGATGAATTCACTCTGTTAATTGCAAGTAAAAATAGCTTACAGAGGATAAAATCAAACAACAGGTCTGAAAATTAGCAACTTGGTCTGATATCTACAGCTTAGAAATCATTCATGCTTTGGTTTATTTACAACTGTCTTAGGTTATCACATGAAAACAAAACCAACCATAGATTTGCCCTAATTATTTCTTTCCTGTTGGATATTAATTTTGAAATGGAAGTAGTAATTCGTATGTTTTTGGAAAAACAGCTTGGAAAACTCAGTGTATTTAAATTCAAATATCTTTCTTGTTCATAATTGCCTTTTCGTTAACATCTATAACTCAAGCAATTGTTTATGAACACAAAAATTATACAATTAGATTTAAGTTGAAATGTTTCTGATGAATATAAATAACTCAAGACCCTTTACGCATAAGCATCCGGTCCTTTACTCAAAATGTTTAAAAGAACACTGAAGGGTGGATGGCTTCCAAAGATAATGTATTACGAGGAATAAATCATTACCTTGGTTCAGTAGATGTTAAATTATAAACCTCATTCTTGCCAATTTTTGGTTCGATTGTTATTATAAATGCCACAAGAAAGTTAGTTCAAGTTACTCACCTTTAATGACAGCTTGTTTTTTTCGTTCTGACAGTTACATTACTAAGACATGGATTCCCATATTTCTAAAGAAAAGCTGAGAAGTAAGATTGGAACAGATTATTTCGGAAGAAAAACATTAAATCTGTCAGAGTGGGATTTGCTGGAACTGCCTGAAGCGGTGCTGGAATTAACTGAGTTGGACGAACTTGACCTGTCACGGAATAAACTTAAAACAATACCTGAAAATGTTGGAAAACTAAATAATATTACGGTACTTGATGTAAGCGGAAACAAGCTGTCCATATTCCCTGCAAGTTTGACACAGCTGAAAAAACTCTACTGTCTGGACATCTCACGTAACAAACTAACCACCATCCCTGATGCTATTGGTGAGATGGTGGCACTGGTGGGACTGGATCTGAGTAACAACCAGTTGACTGTGTTGAGTCCAGCTATAACACAGCTGAAGAAACTCGAACGGCTGCACATCTCACATAACAAACTAACCACCATCTCTGATGCTATTGGTGAGATGGTGGCACTGGAGAGACTGGATCTGAGTTACAACCAGTTGACTGTGTTGAGTCCAGCTATAACACAGCTGAAGAAACTCAAATGGCTGAACATCTCACATAACAAACTAACCACCATCTCTGATGCTATTGGTGAGATGGTGGCACTGGAGGGACTGGATCTGAGTTACAACCAGTTGACTGTGTTAAATCCAGCCATAAATCAGCTGAAGAAACTCAAATCGTTGTTTGTAAATGGGAATCCTTTTACAGTTGAAGGAATGAGAAGTGTTGCGGAGCTAGAAGATAGAGGAATAATTGACCGAGTATATTCAGATCTCCAAGGTGAGTAAAGGAAATTTCTGTTCACATTATTGTTGTGACGTGTGCATTTACTAAATTGGTTCTAATGATTGACTTGCAAGTGGTTATTCTGCTTGTTACTGATTATTACAGGTAGCTGGCGATAGTTAAACTGTAATTACTGTCACAGTTTTTGTGTGGTAACAAAGTTGGCATCACTTGAGAAATACATGACATTTGTAATGGAAGTTTTTGTTCTAATATTGAAAAGCTTTATTTTAACAATTTGGCTGACATTGAAATTTAAGTTCATCAATAAGGAAATATGATTTGATGTGGAATCAAGAGAGTAAATGTTGTTACAAATCATTCTACGCAGTTAGGAATTACTGTTTTGAGTTTTCTTTCTATTGGAATGGAATTACGAAATGATAAAATGTATCCCAAGTTAATTCACTGTTAGGAATTTTTTTTCATTTTTGCTTTCCATTTGGTTAATTTGAAGTGTTTAAAAATTTAGTAACTTGTGGCTTATCAAACACAATTCATAAACTAATGTGATTAAATTTTGTGAATTAAGTTATAGGCATATAGCTTGAATTTGTTATTAGCATGACTGAATCCTGATTATTATTTCCATAGAATTTACACTGCAGGTGTTTTTTGTGTAATTATTTTTAAACTTACAATTGTTACCCTTTGGAAATATGTGCTTTTTTTTTTCGTACACAATCAATTAATTGGTTATTGACTCCTCACTACTCGGCAGAATTAATTTAAGTCCTTGCCTCTCTCTTGTGTGATCAGTCACAAGTGGTTCTAATTCTTATTGTTCTGAAACATTGAGTCAGTTTAGATTTGGTGTGCATGTTCTCAAACTCATCACTACATTTTATGCCAGAAGAATTATTATGTGTAACTTTTATGTAATAGTGGAATAAATGCATTAAGATCAGAAAAAAATAAACAATTTTGATGGTTAAGTTTATATATACCAGCCTTTAACTCCAACATTATTCATGTTAGGCATTTATAGTTGTTGATTTGTCAACCTTTACCTTTAGTTTGCTTTCTTTTTCAATTAATTTTTAGAAATTTATCAATGCGCAAACTACCTTTTTCTTTGTGTTGTTAAAACTCTGTCTTATTAGGCCCAATGAGAGAGAGACTTAAAGCACAGCTGGCTTATGAAAGGGCTTTGCAAGATGGATATGTCATGGTTTACCGTGGCAGAATATTACTCATTGGTCAGGATCGAGCAGGTAAAACCAGTTTAAAGAAGAGTCTGCTAGGCCTTCCATTTGACTCTGAAGAACAGAGCACTGAGGGGATTGAAGTGGATCCTTCAAAGTGTGAAATTGATGTTGACCAAGCTGCAAGGAACTGGCAGTCCATTGGTGAGAATAAACCAGGACTATTGGAATGTTCTAAAGATGTGGCAAAGATTGTTGCAGAGAAACTTTTTACTCAAGAAGATCATCATGCTAGAAAAATGTCTATGCAGCAAGAAAAGCTGAGACAAAAAGACTCAGATAAAAGTTCAAAAGAAGATTTTGAAAAAGATTCAGCCCACATATCACCTGCAGATTTTGAAAAGGGATCTTTAGGTAGTTACAAACATGGCAAAAAAAAGGTAATATCAGAATTTTAAAAATGTTCTTCACACACATGTTTAAGGCAGCTTTTTATGACAGTATAGTTTTAAATATTTAATGTCAAATGAAGATTATGTGAGCCTTAAAGTGAAGCAAAAATTAAAATTGTTCAATTTTTTTAACTGATTTTTTTTTACTTTGCAGTGGTCTTAGCCAAAAAACAGGGAACTGCTTGAAGTCTAAACAATAATTTCCCTCCCAGTACATGTACTCTCATTTTATCTAATTTACATCAAACTTTGACATAGTTATTTGAGATGTGTAATGAGTTTGCTGGTGAGACTGCATCAGTGTGGTACTGAGAGTAAATAATATCCCCTTATTTGATACTTTACTTAGGTTGAGGATAAAGGAGATTACCCATCAATAGATGCTATGGACAACATTAGCATTGAACACTCAATGGACTGCATTTTAGAGGAGCCCGAGGTAATTATTGATGTTGCTCAACCCCCTGATACTGAGAAGCATGTTCATCAGTGGTTGGAGTATCTCAAAGGCAAAGACATCAAAAGTGGTTTATTCCAAGAAGAATCCTATTACACTATGGATTTATGGGACTTTGCAGGGCAGCACCTGTACTATGCCAGCCATCCTATCTTCTTATCACAGCGAGCACTGTACATATTGGTGCACAATCTCAGCAAGCCTTTGGATGTTACAGCTGAGCCCTGCATGAGACAAGGTAGTAATGATGTGAAATTGGAAAACCCTAGCAATGAAACAAACATGGAGAATTTGCTGTCATGGCTGGCTACAGTACACAGTGTTGCCCTGGCAACTGATGACCCAGATGATGATGCACAACATAAGCTGCCCTACCTTCGCCCCCCAGTGTTTATTGTTGGAACACATGCTGACAAACCAGTTGAAGACATAGCAATAATAAAGAAACAAATACAGGAGAGAATTTCTGGTATGGAATATGAGAAGCATGTGGTCAGACCCTTATTCTGCATTGACAACACTCAGAGACCAAACTTGATCAAGAAATTTATCCAGAAGTTTCAAAAGCTGAGAGGAAAACATAAAACAGGTAAGATATTTGATGTCATATTGTATCCTTGACAATGTGTTACTTGCAGTAATTGATGGTTTAATAATTGGTTACTAGCTTGTCTTTGCATCAATTCTTGGAACACTTAATTTGTGACCATTTTTTTGTTTAATCAAAGACCCCTTTTCTGACCCTCCATGGGAAAATGGACATTAATGCTTTTCATTTAAACTGCAAAACCGTTTACTATCTGCTTAAATCCATTTAAATGGTTCATGAAAGTGTTAAAACAATTTGCTCATCCATTTAAAAAAATTTGCATTCGTCTAACCCTTTTGCTAAAACATTTAAGAAGTCCATTTAAGAAATTTTGCGTCCGTTTAAGAAATTTTGCGTCCGTTTAAAAAAAATTGCATCTGTTTAACACTGTAGCAAAAACGTTTAAACAGTTTCCTTCAGTTGTCTGTTTTAAAAAAAATCTATCTGCTCAACTTTAAACCGTTTGTTTACCATTCTGTTATGAGCAGTTTGAAGTATCAATCCCACGTTTGGTTGATACTTGCCAGTTCTTGAAATGCAGAATGACCATGTCTTATCTTGGTTTTATCTTTTCCATGATCATAGAAAGTGAGTAATTGTCCCATTCTTGGACAAACAAGTTAAAACCTGTCAAGAAAACAATTAAAAAACGCGACTTCTCTCAATTCTCCTCTGAGGAATTTAATAATGATTTGTCCGCGATCGACTGGGATGCTATTATTGCCTCAAAAACAAATAATATTGATGAACTATTCTCATCTTTCTACAGAAAATTAAATTCAGTCGTGAATAACCATGCGCCTGTTAAAATTTTATCCAAACGTAAAATTAAACAACTTGCAAAACCGTGGATAACAAAAGGAATAAGGACATCAATAAAAATAAAGAACAAGCTATATGTAAATGGAATACACAGCAAATATAAATATTATAGAAATAAAGTTACAAACCTTATTCGTTTGAGTAAAAAACGTTATTACTATGATTTCTTTGAGAAAAATACAAATAATATGAAAAAGACGTGGAAAGTAATAAATGAATTAATAAATAACCAAAGGACAAAAAGCAGAGTGTTAACGAAGCTGAAAGACCCAAGCAATAACAATCAAATAACACAAAATCCTTCCAGATTACCAAATATTCTAAATAAGCATTTTGCAAGTGTTGGTAATTTACTAGCAAGTAAATTGCCAAAGAAAGATAACTATATGAGTTATCTTGGTAAATTGAAATCACCTGATTCTTCCTTCTTTTTCAAACCCATTACACCAGAAGAAGTTAAACAGGAAATATTATCCCTACCAAATAGTAAATCCTGTGGCTTATACTCCTGCCCTACACAACTGCTTAAATCTTCTTGCAATATCATATCTCCAGCTCTTTCTCATATTTTCAATTTATCTGTTATCCATGGTGTCTATCCTTCAAAACTTAAGATTTCTAAAATAACGCCAATATATAAAAGTGACGACGATACCGACCCTTCAAACTATCGACCAATATCTCTTTTGTCTAATTTTAATAGGATTTTTGAAAAACTTTTGTACTACCGGATGAAGGAATTTATTGACAAAAACAACCTATTGTACTCCTCACAGTATGGCTTTCGCAAGTCACATTCCACAGAGCATGCAGTACTTGATATTGTCGAAGATATACTACGTAATATGGATAAACGGTACTTCTCATGCGGTGTCTTCATTGACCTGAAAAAGGCATTTGATACGGTCAATCATGAAATATTACTCGATAAATTGAACTTTTATGGTTTCCGTGGATTGATAAATGACTGGTTTCAATCATATTTAAAAAATAGAACACAAACAATTCAGATTGGAGAGCACTTATCAACAAAACTTATCTCTCCCTGTGGTGTCCCCCAGGGATCAGTCCTTGGACCTCTTCTATTTTTACTTTACATAAATGACATTCACCTTTGTTCTGATAAACTAAAATTTTATCTCTTTGCGGATGATACTAATATACTTTATGCTGATAAGAATCTTAAGGCGATCGAGCAAACGGTTAATGTAGAGTTGAATAACGTACATGACTGGTTAACTACAAATAGGTTGACATTGAATACAAAAAAATCAAATTTCTTAATTTTTCGTCCTCGTCAGAAAAAAATGCATTTTTCTCCACAAATAGGTATTTTAGATTGTGA